GCCTCCAAAGCTTCCTCGGTGTCAGGGGTCCACTGGATCTTAGTTTTGTCGTTTTTCTTGGAGTGAGTGATGAAGCCATTAAGCGGTGCTTGGGACTCAGCAGCGTGAGGAATGCTCTTGCGGTAGTAGTTGACCATTCCAAGAAATCGGCGAAGGTCAGTAACAGTCTCTGGCCTGGGGAAGGAGATGATTGCCTCCACACGTGAGCTAGGAGCTTTGTATCCATCCTTGTTGATCGTGTAGCCCAGGTAGGTCACTTCCTCTTTTCCAAACTCGCACTTGCTGGGGTTCAGCGATAGCTTGTGCTGACGTAAGATGGAGAAGACTTGCTGGAGGTGCTGGAGATGCTCCTCATGGGTTTCAGAAGCCACAATGAGGTCATCTATGTAACAGCCAACGAAGTCCAGACCCCTCAGGATGTTGTCCATATGACGTTGAAAGGTCTGAGTTGCATTACGTAGTCCAGGGGGCATGCCCAGAAATTCGAAGAGACCGAAGGGTGTTGTAATAGCAGTCTTTTCGATGTCCTCTGGAGCCGACTTTCATTGCCATATATACCGCTATTAATCATTCTTTCCAATTGATGAAATTAACAAACTAATAGGCGCAAATTGGTCCAAATAGTTCAGCTTTTAATATTTACTCAATTTTAAAATTTGATTTCAGTCATTCTCGCCTTCTTTACTCGAAAATGAACAGCCACGCTTATCCGTGGCTCCTTAATCGCCAGGGTTATGAATAATTATCTTTGAAAATCCGAAAATTGACAGCGAAACGGGAACAATAAATAGGCATCAACGTCGCAGTTGCGACGGTGCTAGTAAAGAATAATGCCATGGATGAAAATCCCACTGATTCCACCCCGGGAATTGTAGGTTATTAACCAATGGCTATGCGGCAAATGCCAGAGGCCAGCTGCGAACTTCAGCAGCACTTGGAAAAAAAATTGTAGCTTAGGTATCGAGCTCCATTCGCCCATCATTCATTTTAGTGAGTGAAAAGCGTTTTGCAAACAAAAACTTTACCGATCGGTCCGTTGAAATAACATTTGCAACCCTCTGATGAAAATGATGATTGGCTATACGGACCATTTCTTAAACGAACTTTTAAAGCAAAACGTACATAGAAAAATTAGCCCTTGGAGAATTGAAGTTTAATACTTACATTTGCTTCTGCGTCGTCTCCCGACGAACTCTCAGATTCTGGGTCGGAGCTCTTAAGATCTTCTATCTGCTCTCCATATTTGGTTTTTACTAAATAAAAACAGAAAGTAAGAAGCGCAATTTTTTTTCGGAGGAATGCAAGGGAAATATGGTGAAAGGGATAAAATGGGCACTTGACTTGTTTTAATGTAAATGGTATGTTGAATTGTTACTGAAATGGAGTAATTATTTTTTTAACCCTCAAGTGGTTACACAATGGGCGAATCGCAGCATTTTTTCGTTTTTTTTCTCACATGAAAATCGCGTAAGTGAAAAATTTGTATTACTATTTTCAACTAAATCGAACGCATTGGCAATTTTTTTGGTCGATACTCACACCGATCAATTATTAAAATCTTTTGAAAACTCGACTAACAGAAAATCCCTGTGTTTAACCTCTAAATGTCAAAAATTTGTACCTAATGAAATCGAATTCTAGGATTATCGGTCGATTATTCTTCTTTAATATCCTCATTTCCTATTGATTGAAGTGTCAAAATTACCCGTAAACTACCAATAAATGATTTTTTCCAACTCTTTTACTCACAAAATCGCAAAATACACGGGGCTGCGAATTGCCCATCGTGTGACCAGTAACGATCAGTGGAGATCTGCGGCCACTCAAGGGTTAATCGAAAGTACAACTCTTTCCCTTTGTGATGAGCTTAAGCTGAATTCAGTTAAGATGTGTTTCTGAGTTACGAACATTATGAACCTTGAGAAAAATTGTAAGTGCCAATTTTGCTTCATCGTCTTCTAATTGGTTATTGACTCACGTTTGTTTAACTCCTCCTTCCGTCGCCAATCGTTGTAGTGATTGGCATATGCACTATTTATCTTGATACCCTCATCACAATCTGAATCATCTCCTTGGAATAATTTTGACATTCTTCAGTTACTGTATGTTTCTCCCTTCAAATGGCAATAAATGGATGTGAAACAGAAAATTAATCCATGATGTTCGAAATGTGGTCTATTCTACCGTGAAGTTCGTAAAGAACAGAGATTAAAGGGGAGATGAGCAGGGCCAATGTAAAGTGTTCAACAGCAAAATTAGTAGCGGTGGCGCATGGACTACGATGGAGCGTACGGAACTGTTGGTATGGTAGGGCCCGAGCATAAATTTGTCGATAACTGGAAAGGGGTTCTCAATACGGTAGCTCCTCGCATTTTGTAATAATTGTCAGGAATGTAAAATCGAACATATTATAATCAATAGTATAATGACTGCAGAATCTAATGATCTAAAAGTCGTTTCCTTTTTCTCGACATATGTATTATTGACACGTAGGTCAAAAAATTCATAAAAAATCCTAGCGCTGTCGCTGGAAAACTCCATAGTTTTCCAGTGATTCTATTGAATAATTGTGCAGATTTTGTTTTTTCTTACAACAGTAATGTTCGATTATATATATTTATTCCCCCCCTGAATGAGAAAGGAATATGTATCGCGATCCCTCCCACTCATTGTCGTCTCCGTCGCGTTGGCACGTGCCCGTCCTCCGCCAAACTTAACGAGTGCGAGTGAGAAAGAAAATGGAGAAGGAGGAGAGAGAAAACATTCCAATTCGTTTCAACGGGTGGAACGTTTTCGCTGTTCTCCAGCGATCTACACATAATAGGATTAATTCAATAATAATAGATTAATGAATAAGATTTTTCGCAGATTATTGCGAGATTTAGATGAATGGTTTGCCTCCTTCAGTGACCATAAAAAATTGTCTCCAATCGACAATATCTCCCGATGGAATGGAACGATGTGAATGCATCAAGTATCAATTTGAATCTTTAAAAAATTAATCGAGAGTGAAAAAAAATCCGGGAATTCCACTCTGACATTTCTCTATTGTCTGTATTTACCGAGAAAAAAAAAACGTTGTTCCTAGGAACCGATGTGTCTTTTTTAGGCAGCTGCATTTCTGAAATGCAATGAGCAAGCAATGTTAAAATTAAGTCATTTTGTAAAAAATTTCTAGTGACATGATCCTGAAAATCAAAGGAAAGTCTTGAATTCAGGAATGATGTCTGTAGGTTTCAGTTATATTTTCGCGGAAATTCCGAGAACACTTATTGGGAATTTTTATCGCGTTGCCGTAATACAGAAATTTCAAGGAATTTCGTCATTGCAAATTAAAAATTTCTATGAATTTCAGTCCAATTATATG